TTTGGCTGCAGAGAATATAATCAATCTGATTTCGGTATTGCCCATCTGGTGATGTCCATGTGTAGAGTTGCCTCTTGCGATGTTGGAAAAGAGTGTTTGTAATGACCCGCTTGTTCTCTTGACAATATTCTATTAGCCTTTGCCCTGCTTTGTTTGGAACTTCAAGACCAAACCTACCTGTTGTTCCTTTTATTTCTTGACTCCCTACTTTAGCATTCCAATCCTCTATCATGAGAACATCTTTCTTTGGTGTCAATTCTAGAAGGTGTTGTAGTTCTTCATTGAATTGGTCAATTTCAGCCTCTTCGGTAGTTGGTGCATAAACTTGGATTATTGTGATGTTGAAAGGTTTGCCTTGGATTTGTATTGAAATTATTCTATCATTTTTGGGACTGTATCCCAGTACTTTTCCCACTCTTTTGTTGACTATGAGGGCCACTCCATTTCTTCTATGGGATTCTTGCCCACAATAGTAGATATGATAATCATCTGAATTGAATTCGCCAATTCACGTCCATTTTAGTTCACTGACACCCAGGATGTCAATGTTTATTCTTGCCATCTCCTGTTTGACCACATCAAGCTTACCAAGGTTCATAGATCTTACATTCCAGATTCTTATGCAGTATTTTTCTTTGCAGCATCGGACTTTCCTTTTACTTCCAGGCACGTCCACAGTTGAGTGTCCTTTCGGCTTTGGCACAACCACTTCATTAGCTCTGGAGCTACTTGTACTTGTCCTCTGCTCCTCCTCAGTAGCATGTTGGACACCTTCTGATCTGAGGGGCTCATTTTCCAGCATCATAGCTTTTAGTCTTTTGTTTTTGTCCATGGAGTTTTCTTGGCAAAGATACTGAAGTGGCTTGCCAGTTCCTGCTCCAAGTGGATTGTGTTTAGTCTGGACTCTCCACTATGGCCTGTCCGTCATGGGTGTCCCTGCATGGCATAGCCCATAGCTTCTCTGTATTACTCAAGCCTCCTTGCCACGACAAGGCAGCAGTCCGTGAAGCAGTCCAGTGTCATTATTCTGGGTTATTTCTAATACTATAAACCTGATAAAATTGCTAGAAATTCAAGGTATATATAAATTAGGAAACACACACAAAATCAACTTTCATTAATCCCTAATATTTGGATTTTCACATACAGTACATTTGATCTGCTCTGTACTTAGGAATATACAATGTGTAGTTACATAAAAGAAAACACAATACTATTTTTCCTCCAGAGAATGATAACTTTATTATTTTAGTGACCTCAGCTTTTGCTCTGTTTGCTAAGTCCAGGTTGAGTTACCAATTCTCTTAGATGCTTAATCAACATAAAAGTTGTTTCTTTAAATCCGTTTACTAAAATTAAATAAATTACTGCAGATTTAAACAAAAACACTTTTAAAAACAGTCTAAGATGTTATTTCTACTGTGTGTGGCCTCCAATAACAAACAGGAGCTAGCACTGCTTTATTTCATTTTACTTCAGTTCTCTTCAAACAATTTCTCTTTGCTAATCCAGAGTCCTTCACCTTGCAGAATGTGAACAAAGAGGGATTTACTACTCTAGGCCAATTCGTAAAAATATGAGTTTCACTACTCTAGGCCAATTCGTAAAAATATGATCCTGATATGCTTCAGTATTAAAAACAAACACACACAGCAATTTTATCTTTGCAGCAGCGGCTTTAAAATAATTTCTACTTGAGGTCCTCTTTTTAAATTTATGAGCCAGACTCCAATAATGGTGTTTGTGTAAGGTCTGTATAACATTCTCAGGTTACCTGGCAAAGTGCTGGGGCACATTTGGTTGCACAATTGGGCACATGATCAAAACATCTTGAATTAGCTGTGGCAAATTATTCAACTTTAGACAAGTGCCAGAATGATTCCGGCCATAGTAATTTCTACCCTACCCTATTGTGTGGAATAAAGAAATTTAAACTAAAAAGGAACTACAATCAAATTTAGTTTTAAATTAAGTCAAGTTCAAGACTAAACTTAATATCAATTGTTTAATGTTCTGTGATATAAAGATCATGAAAATATCTCTGAGTAAGGATGGACTGCTTTATTTCTGAATAACATGCACATACAATTAAGGGAGTGGCACAAAAAATTGAAGGAACAAGGCTAGGGTCCTCAGAGAGCAGCCCTAGCTGGAGAATGTACTTGTGGTTTGAAAAACTGTGTCCTATGGGCATCAGACATTCACTCTCGGTTCCACATGTATACATGAATACACTTCAAAAATGTGTATTTTAAGTAATGCATATTTGTGAGTGTATAATTCAAAAAGGAGAAAGAATCTATGATTTGCATTTTTGCCCAGTGAAAGCATGCAGAGATATGCAGACATTTTCATTAATCCTCCCAGAGACCACAAATTAAATAAATTCATAAAACAAGTCGATTAACATAGATTGCCCTTCTGTCACTATTCCTAACTGCCATTCAAAACTGTCCTCTAACTAAACCAGTCTTCCTTCCTGCATGAAGGAAAATGAGAAGCATCAGTTTTGTAAGGAGAGAAATGGTTAAGAGTAAGGATTGTTACAAGAGAAGCCAGTATCAGATGCAGAAAAAATGAACATAGCTTAGTGAAGGAAACTATTGATGTTTCAATGCTATAAATAGGAAGACTGATCTCTGATTGAACCTTTTAACTTCAAACAAATTATACAACACGGCATGTTTAAGCATTTATCATATGAATCTTCTTACTTTCATCATGATGTTTTGAAAAACTAGGAAGTAGAAATCCAGTGTTACTTACTGATGTGAGAAGAGTATAATGGATACAGAATCCAGGTTCAGAAGGCAAATATTCATCAGAAACAAATCTGATCCTGATCTGGTTTCCTTTGGAAGTCTGTATGCCTGGAACTGTAGATGAACCACACCACCGTCCTAAAATAGTGCCATCACTGGGCTCTTCAACTTCTACAAAATCATACCTATAATTAAGAAAAAAAAATACAATTTACTGATATTTATGTATCCATCACTTTCTTTAGCATAGCAGAGACACAGTCATATAAATCAAGAATAATTTCATTTCAAAAGCCCACAGGTGGGTTCAGCAGCAACTGTATGAGATTTGTAATGTTTTACATCTCACAATTAGGCCAGAATTTACTTTCTGATTCACTGCATTCTGCAAAGGCTATAATGTAAAGAAAGCACAAGAACTGCTCTGAGTAGTTCCATGAATTGCTACTGGCGTGCTCTGGTCCATGGGGTCACGAAGAGTCGGACACGACTAAACAACAACAACAAAGTTAACTTTTATTATTAACTGGATATAAACAAATTTTGTGAGTTCACTAACTTCTAGAAACTACAGAAAGCAAGGGTAATTGAAATGGGTTTTATCATAAAATCTAAAAAACCCATACATTTTTACTGTCTTACGGAATAAACATATAGTAGCTGAAATTCTAACTTTGTTCATGTGAATGTAAACTCAGTCATAGAATAGGACTTTTCTACCTTTACCTTCCTTGTGCAACCTGCTAAACTGCAAAAAAATGTTAATGGAGACTGGAGGACCCTTGTAAATGGTTTGTAACATGGTTCAGATGAAAGGGAGCTGGCAGAAATCACACCATTCCTTACATTAAACATTTAAGGATGCAAGTCAGGGTGTTAAAAACTTCAGGCAACGTAAGTGATTTACTAAAATACTGTCTACACAAATTTATGCAGTGCATACAGAGACTGAACATTTTAAAATATGGGTACAATACATGGAAAAACTCATGGTAAGAAAAGAGAGAATCCTGTCAAACAAATGGTAAATTGGAGGACAATATGTCAAACTGGTCCATGAATGATTTTCTTTTGTGTATTGTTTCTGTTCACATTTATTCTCAACCTTTTGTTTCCAAATGAACCACTATTCATTTTTTACCTGCATACACTACAATTATTTATTCATTATAATTATATTTTTCAAAGAAGTATATATATAGAGAAAGCACACATAATCTGTGAAATTCTAGGGAATTCGGGAAGTGATATATGGGAAGTGATATGAAGTGAAATGAACTATCATTAACAATCAGAACCCTGCATGTCCCCAGGTGATCATTTTTGAGTCTCTGTAATCCCTGTAACATACCTAGTAGTATTGTATTGCACTGTCCAACTCAGTATTTAAAGGATTTACTAAGCCTGTTTTATTGGCCAATCAAATGCAGGTTTCTCAGAGCAACGTGATACAGTACGTACATAACTACATGTCATAATGATTAGTTCTTTTTACAGACATACTTTGGAACTACAGGAGATTTACCTCTTTTCATACTTCACAAACAAGTCTGTTTCTGCAGACACAATGCCTGTTCTGGATTTGACACAGAGCTCTAAAATGGTGATTAACATTATTCTGCCAAGAGTGCCTTAACGGAATACCCCAACTGCATCAAAGAAAAACAATCAAAGTTTGTAGTAGCTCCTTTCTAACTCTGCTAGTTTCTCACCTTGGAGATCAATTTTCTTATGCTGGAGATCCACTACTATGTGGGATAGAAACTTACAACCCTCCAATTGTTGCTGGAGTGCATTTCACATCAGCCCCAACAGGCATAGCCAACAGTGCTGGATTATGGAAGTTCTGATTCCCCATCATCTGGAAGGCCAGATCACCCAGCCTCCATTAATTTGAACGATGGTGATTTTTTAAAGACACCCATGTTTTCAACAGGCAACTAGTTTAATTTTTCATTTATTTCATTTTTCATTTATTTTTACCCCGCTCATCTAGATTCGGGAATCTACTCTGGGAAGCTTACAAAATATAAAGATAAAAACTGCATTCAAATAACTTTGTTCATAAAAGCAATAAAGATCAATAAAGAAAACAGGATCCAAGATGGCATAAGGAAGCTATGTAATGGGGGGGATCATCTTATCTCCCCCCCTGCCCCAAATGGTAGGAGCGAGGAAGCCTCCCTTCCCTCTTTCCTCCAGCAGATTTCATTTCAGGCTAAACCAAACAAAGTTTTGTAACTTTCCATAAACTTAGAAAAAGGCAAAAACTCTAGGCTTTGTTGCTTGACTCTCCTAGGGTGAGGCAGTGAAAGAGGCATTCATTAAGGCCTTCATCCTTGGTGCACAAACACTTCATGGTCCTCATGTATTCTTCCAATTTCTTGATCAGCTTCACCTCAACACAGAAGAGAGTCTCCCAAGTGTCACATATACAGTATAAGGAACTGTATGGTGGAAGGCAACATGTTGCTAGTCCAGCATACCCTGGTTGATACAGTACTGGTCTCCAGATGAAGGGCAGTATCTGTAACATCAGCTCCATCCTTCTATTCACCCTGCTCTGGTTGTTGTTGTTGTTGTTGTTGTTGTTGTTGTTGTTGTTGTTGTTGTTGTTGTTGTTGTTGTTGTTATACATCTGTTCCCACAATGGTTTGGGATGGTTATAGTTTCTCATCTTGGCTGTATCTCTGCTCAGATAGGTAAAGAAGGATGAAAACTTGGGAAACTCTGCATTGTCTCAGTTGAAGTGAAAGCCCAAGGATAGGCAAGTATAGCCGGAATGGAAGAGCTGGTTGATCAAATGGGTCATGTGCACTTTGCTCGTAGCATGGCCGTTCTGTAAGATCTGGGAGCTCATGATCAAAAGCAGTATTATCTAGATGAGCTAGAAATGATGGCTCAGTCATGACCCTACACCATTCAAGCACTTTTGAAATAAGACTGGAGGAACAATGGCCAAAAGTGGATTTAGCCTGGTTAGGTGACTGTCATAAAAGTGAATAGCTGGGTTTTTCTGTTTTATTGTTCTAAGATACACACAATAAATTAAATCGCTGGCTACATGCGCTAGTGCACATTCTGCATAATTCATAAATGGAACCTCTAAGAGTTAGAATTAAGCTTTTCTTGCTCTGCTACAGCTCTAATCAAAATTAAATGTTATTTGCACAGGGAAACAGATAGCATTTTCAGAGGAAACCTTCTCTTCAGAACCTGCTCATAAAGCTAGGGCACTTCCAAATCCATACAGTGGGGTCTTGACTTGAGAACTTAATCCGTATTGGAAGGCGGTTCTCAAGTCAAAAAGTCTGTAGGTCAAGTCTCCATTGACCTACAGTGCATTGAAAACTGATTAATCCCGTAACAGGCCGTTTTTGTTCCATTTTGGTTTTTTTCTGGTCTGTAAGTCAATTCTCAGGCTGCAAGTCAAACCTAAATTTTGCAGCCAGAGAAGTCTATAACTCAAAAAGTCTGTAAGTCAAGAGTCCACTGTATTGGTAGCTCAGTAAAATCCATATTAGTAGCTCAATGAAAAAACAAAAACATATAGCTAAATAACAAAGAAAACTAATAACACCACCCTAAAGCCTACCTGAGAGAAGTGGTCCTCTAGGAAGCTGGAAAACATGCCTGCCCTGTGACAGATACCGTAGTAGCATTAAAAAGAAATGGAAGCAGCACTGAATGTCCTTGAGCCTTACAAACGGGAAGCATCATTTATTCATTTACATAATTATTTGTTTAATACCCCTCCTTTCTTCCAGCAAAGGGACCCAAGGTAATAAACACAAGATTATAAAATACACCTAAAAATACAAAAAATTATGATCTTAAAAGCAATTAAACATACCTCAAACTAAAACCGCCCAATAAAATTTTTTTAAAGCAACTGAAAAGGACATTCAAAGCATTAAAAAAAATATAACCCTGTCCCCATTAAAACCCCTTTCTCAGCAACCAGTTACTTTCTACAAGCTTGCCAAAAAGAAAAGGCTTTGCTTGTTGGTGGCAGGGCCACAGCGCTGGGACCAGCGTAGTCTTCTGCATAAGGGAGCCGCATAGCCCAGGCGTAGCCACTAAAAAGCCACTCTCTTGTATCCTTGCCAAGTATGCCCCTGACAACAGCAGGACTTGGAGAAAGTCCTCCTCAGATATTTTAAAAAACTAGGGAAACTCTTATGGGGAGACACAGCACTTCAGATAAATAGGATCCAAGTTGATTATAGGTCAAATCTGGCACCTGAATTATATCAGGACAGACAGGGAGCCTAAGAAGCTGCTGTCACAATAATTTCTATTCTCCCTTTAACTGTTCAAAGGAATCCCTCCCCATGCAGACAAAATTGTCAAAGAAGGGCTTCCCCACTTCCACCACTCCCACAATAGGCCTTACAGAGGGCTCTAGCCTGTGTTTTCTTTGATCTGCTTTAAGTTTTCTACCATCGTTGCTCTAGTCTCTGCCCTGCTTGTTTCATCACAGTGAACTTCGTGAACCTGGGGCAAGTCTTGCTTCACACCGTGGGAGTAGTCTCTTTGGTGTGATTATGTCTACTGCCCCGGCCATTTCCATTTCCTCATTCTAAACACCCATTTTTAGATACATAAACCAAAACCTGGCAAAAGGGATGGAATTGTGATAAGATTTAATCTATCTGCAACTCGGCCTCTTTAACCTTCCTCCATGTCTTACTTGTTGGTACCCAGGGAATCTGTGAAGGAAGAGAGAATAACACACACCTCCACTTCATCCAGCCAGGTCTCAGTAATACAGGCTAGGTCAACACAGGTATCCAAGATCAAGTACTAGATATTGTTGTTTTGCCATTAAATAACCCATAATTAAACAGCAACATTTTCAACGCAGGGGGCCTGAAGCCAGGACTAAGTTATTTGAATTGTGGGACAGCTTGGGGACAACCTATACTCTGTCACCCACCCCTGTTGCATTTTTCCTTATCTGCTGCCTCCCTCTCAGTATAATTCTGATGGTTACTCCTTGCCTCCCCCTTCAGCAGTTTCTCTCTTATTAAAACATACTCTTCCAGAGAACTTAATTACATACAGTCTCAAAAGTCTTTAAATGAGATCTTCATTTTAAGTAGTTTGAGTACCATTTTATCTGGAACTCTCTGGAGAAAGCCAGAGAGTTCCAGAAAAATATCTACTTCATTGACTATGCAAA